AGACAATACATCAATACATAGTAGTAACTTGATGTACTCATGTGTTCATGTTTATTGTGAACAGTTTGGCATTATTCATGTTTCTTCTTATGCTTACATTGCTATATAGGGCTAAACTTTGTTTTTACTTATCATATGTTCTTATCTAAATATGTGTTACCTCTGAATTTAGAACTACTACATCAAAAGAAATCATGCAGGACTTGTAGAGAAACTTAGGAAATTATATCAAGATGCAAAGAGTGCAGAAAATGTAAATTAGTCTCTATATATGTGAGCCAACAACCTCAGCCCCATGAAATGACTTTTAAAGAAAACATGATCACAATTACTATTAATAAAAGTGAAATTTTAATGTAGAAAGAAAGTTATACAGAAGAAGAAAAGTATGAAATTATCAATTTCTTAGATCCTAAAAAAAAAATTGTTTAAGTAATGGGGTCTCTGCTGGGTGTTTTGAAAACATGAGAAGAGAGAATCTCTTTAGAATGTGAAAATGAATCTTGGCACTTATTACCTTTGGGCTTTACGGTCAGGTGGACAGACACCTTTTTCACCCCCAGTGGACTGACTGCTTGGCATTCATATTGACCTTCATCGTGCTGTGCTACACGGTCAATTCTCAGAGTGCCAGAGGAAAGAACTGTATGTCGGCCTTCCACAGGGAGCTGTCTTCCTGCAAAAGAGGAAAAGAAAGTACTCTGTATTGCATCTGTATGACTCAAGGAGCGAAAGGCCAGAACTGCATGACTGTCCTAATAAAGCCTGAGATCCTTCTTTCAGGAAATCCTTGGGGTGAACTGGGATGGCTCCTTTCTGTATCACATTCCTCCAAATATGGCATGAGCCTTGACCTGACCTCCCCAACCTCTGCCACCGTTGAAACGAGAATTAGACAGGCAGTCAGTATAAATAGGTAAATTGAGTCAGGTTGGATCAAGGAGGCCAATTTTGAGTGAGTCCAGCAAGTTGGAGACTGTCCCCTGAAACATTGAAATGTTAATTCCTTCTGAGCCCTTCCTCCACCCTTATCAAGAACCTGCCCTGGCTCCAACCTGTTGCCAAGGTAACTAGTCCCAGGAATGTCCTTCGCTTCTACAGGGAGTTATTAAAGTTGTTAATTAATGTGTCCTTGGCTGCTCCATCCTGCCCTTCCCCCTTCAGCCCACCTGTTTCCCACCTTTTGGCCATCCCACGGAGCACTCCTGGGCCTAGTCACATACACTGTAGGGAGAAAGATGAGGGGAAGAGGGCAGGAGAATAAAGGAAGCCTAGGACATATAAATAGGGCAGAACACCTGGCTTCTGGGGATACCAGGATACTAGCTGTGGCCTCTTCTCCATCCTGGGAGAAGTCTATGTTACCCCTTTTTAAATAAACCCTGCTTTATAGTCTTCCCTCAGCTGCTTCTCTAATGTTCAAACTTCAACATGTCGGGGAAGAGAACTCGTCACCGATAACCCGCAGGCAGTATCACTGTATTGCAAGGATTTATCATCTCCCACCAGGAAAATAGCTTGGCCTCTTTATGAATCCCCTCACCTACCTGCTTGCCTTCTCAGTTTTAACTACAATTAGAATGGAAATTTCAGAACCAATCTGATTACTAATACAATTTTCAAATACCTCTCTAACATTGGTTCGTCAAATGTATACAATATTGAGAATATAAAAGGATTATGGGAAAAGAATATTTAAAGTGCTTAGGCAGCATACCAAATGTGGTATTTTTGTGACACTCCTGCTGATAACCCCCAGAGCCACACCCCAAGCCACCACTGTACTTCTTACCTTTGAGCTTACACTGAGCTTCTGGATCCTTTTCAACACTTTATTCCTCATGGTCACTAGCAATTAAATAGGGTTGTCATTCTCAACTATTTCAGTAAAAACTTATAGCTTACTGATGTCTTGTTACAATTAGAAAAAGCAATAGCTAACTTTATTGAGTGTGCACACAGGTTGGCAGCTACTTGTTCCAAATATCTAAAATTTTAAGCATATTCAGATCAATTCTTACAACCGTCTGATGATGTAGTACATTTCATCACCCCCAGCACATAGTTGAGAGTACGCTAATAAACAATGGCTAATTTACTTTCTAAATTCATGCAACTAGTAAATGAAGGAGTAGAGATGAATCTAGGCTTTAGGGCTCCAAAGTCCACCTTGTAAGCACTGTTGTCTACTTCTCCAAGTCCCAGAGCAAGAACAGAGCAGAAATTTTAATCCAAAAATTTCAAAATGCATAGACATATTTTGAATTTAACTTAGCACTTTAACTAATGTAGAAGCTAAGATTTCCAAGCCCAGAGAGTCTTCATCAATCTCTCATCCAGCCCACTGTGCATCTTGTTGTACAATGTTCTCAGGTTCCCTAAGAGTGCCTGGTCCCTCTGGATGGGAGGCTGGACCCTGTTTGCCAGGCCCTGTACCCAGGCTACTCACACTTCAAGAACAGCAGCTCTATTCTGAAAGTTTCATTTAAGTTTAATAAGTTGGAGCTCCATTTAGCATTTTGTTTCATTTCTGATTCCATTTTGTACTAAAAGAATTTTTGGATTCAAGTTGAAGATTAGTTCAAAAGAAATCTCTAACATTTTGCAGGCTAGCTTTTGGTATTAAAAAAAAAAACACTAAACTTTCCAATAATTTTATTTTTAAAGTCTAGAATCTATCTCCCAGAGTAAAAGTATGATTTCAGGAAGGTCATACATTCAAATACCAAAACTTAAAACACCAGAAAATTTAAGATGGTGTAGTACTTAGAGTGTGCTGTCTAGATGTCCACAATGTACTTGTGATAATTAAACTATTTTTTGTACTTTCCAAAAAGAGAAGGTACTCATTTCTTCCCACAATCATTTATGGAAGTGCTAATACCTGCTTTGGTCCAGAGGATAACTGGTGGTGGGCGGCCTTCAGCTTCACAAAGAAGTTCTACAGCATGCTCCTCCAACACCACCTGGTCCTCGGGGCTTCTTACAAATTGTGGTGGAGCTGAAGACAAAATAGGCCACTAAAATCACAAATCATTTTGGAACATTTTAATAACAACACGAGAAGAAAGAAAATATGTTTAAAAATTGAAATATGTTTTGTAATTAGAATTAGTTTTGAGATAGCAACTTGAGGATAGAGAAAAAGAGAGACTGAGTTTCAAAAGAGAAGTCCCCAGGAGCCCAACACCTGGAAAACAGTAAACACCCAAGAACCTTTAAAATGCAAAACAAGCATTCTTAAGCAACCAGGACCTTTTCCTTGGCCTGCACCCTTGGTTCAGGTGCTTTCCTGCAAAAGTAACAATGCACAAAAGTGCAAGCCAAGAGAAAACTGTGCAAAATTGTGTTACATTCTGTCCTGACTCTAGTTCAGCCCCTACCAACTGCCACACACCAATGGGTGTGTCTTTCTTCCTCTGGAGATAGCCTTCATTCTCCCTTGACGCATATTCTTTGCTTTACCCCCAAAACTCACTCTCAAGATGGCCAGCATTCTCCCGTAATGTGTTTCTTACTCTGCCCCAAGTGATGTCTCTCCTGTGAGATAGCGAACTCTTAAAAATGTATCTGCTTTCTTAATAAAACTGTCTGTGTCTCAGCTGACTGGTGCATGCTGAAATTTATTTCTGTCACAAATGCCAAGGATCCCACATATCCTGAGTCGAGGACCCCCTTCTCTGGGAACTCCTTTCATGATATTCCCAATGATTTATCAGCAAGGATACTAAAAACATAGAAGTGTTTGCATATGTTTGTGCCTGCTTGCAAGGAAACCAGAAAAAAAAATTTAAAAAAAAAAAACAGAAATAACCAATATGGACTGAAGCCAGAATTAGACAGGCAGTCAGTACAGATAGGTAAATCGAGTCGGGTCAGATCAAGAAGGCCAATTTTGAGTGAGTCCAGCAAGTTGGAGACTGTCCCTTGAAACATTGAAATGTTAATTCCTTCTGAGCCCTTTCTCCCCCCCCTTATCAAGAACCTTCCCTGGCTCCAACCTGTTGCCAAGGTAACCAGTCCCAGTAATTGCCCCTCCCTCCTACAGGGAATTATTAAAGTTGTTAATTAATGTGTCCTTGGCTGCTCCATCCTGCCCTTCCCCCTTCAGCCCACCTGTTTCCCACCATTTGGCCATCCCACTGAGCACTCCTGGGCCTAGTCACAAACACTGTATGGAGAAAGGGGAAGAGGGCAGGAGAATAAAGGAAGCCTAGGACATTTAAATAGAGCAGAACACCTTGCTTCTTGAATACCAGGATACCAGCTATGGCCTCTTCTCCCTCCTGGGATAAGTCTGTTACCCCTTTTTAAATAAACCCTGCTGTATCTGCTTGCCTCGGCTGTTTCTCTAATGTTCCAACTTCAACATGTGAGAGAGCAGAACTGTCACCTATAACCAGCGGTAACAGGACCATTTCTGAGTCTTATGGAAGCTGCTTCATATCACTAGATGGTCCTGCTTATCTTTTACTAGCTGAAATAGACATATTTAAAGCTACAGTTCATATTTGCATTATTAACAAAATGGTTCTCTCCAAATGTTCACATACAGAATAAAATTCAAATCAAATTGCTGTATTTACTTCAGAAGAAAAAATATGTTCTATGGAGAGATGCTCCTGCAAACACATAAAATTATGCTTTTGAAAAAGTGCTATTTACGTCAAAATTTTTAGTCCCAAATATTCAAAATGTTTATAGTTGCTTTTATATAAATAATGAATAGCTAATAGCTACATGCACCATTTGTAGAAAGGGATTCTGTTCACAATATTTTACTATGAAAAAGAAATCAGTGTGGCTATTTAAGAAAGACCCATAACCCTCAATAATATTTGAGAGGTGACAATTTCAAAAACTCTTTCCCAGATGACAGGCACAATCCCACTACCCCTTGTTCCTGCCTGCCATCAGCAAATACAACAAACACGATGAAGTAAATACCATTTGACAAAGCATATTTGTTGCAAGTTTCATACTATGTGCAGATAATAAAGATTTTTTAATGGTCCTCATAAATTCTAATTAAGGTACTAGACTGAATACCATATTATAAGATTAATTACACATAAGCATGAAGACCCTCAGGAATGCCTGAAAGCTATTTGTAATTGACTTCTAGAAAACAGCCTACAGACCAGCAGTGTCAAGCTCCTCATTCCACAGATGAAGAAATTCAGACTGGAGAAGTTTGAATTGAATTTCTCTCAGTCAGAACCAGTAAGTGGCAGAGACTGTGAGAATCTAGGTCGCTCAACCCCCAGACTGATGTTCTTTCCAGAACATTACACTAACTCCTGAAATTACCAGGAATGGCTTAAAAAGAACAAAAATATTTCTACATTAAAACTTGAATTCATGACACAGTAAAAGAAGTATGTAATAAAAGTAGGTCGTAGTTAAGACAAAAAATAAAAAAATAAAAAATCTACCCAGTGTTCTAAATTGGGAAATTTGATTTAGGTTGTTTAGTAATAATTAAAATTTAGTTAGCCAGGTCTGGGCAAAAAATATTGTATTACTTCATGTGCTCTTATAGTGGGACAGACAAGGCTGGACCCGGAGGAATAGCAGGAATCATGTTTAAAAAGGCTGCATGCAGCCAGGTTCAAAAAGGGGGTTTTTCCACCTCCATCAAATCACACCTCTTAACCCTGAGTTTGGAAAGTTTCAGAACTTTATACCCAACATGTAGGGGCAGGGCTCAGAGGCTCACGATCTGCAGCAGCCCACACAAAAGCAGTTTTTTCCAGAACAGTGGAATCGAGAAGTAGATACACAATCAAGGACACTCTCTGCAAGAATCAGCACCCAGGACCTGGAGAGTTCTCCTCCCCTTCCTCCAGCCTGCTAGCTCCAAAGGACCTGACTATTGTCTATTGAAATACAAAGGTCTCTGTGGAGGCCTTGGATTGGTCTTTCTTATCACATCCTGCCTCTGTAGTACACCACCAGCCTGAAAACTCTGCTGCAGAAATTCTTGTTGATAGTCTAAGAACAGTTATTTGGGGAGGGGGGGTCTCTGGAGAAGCTTAATTAAGATTTTCCATGGGGGCAGGGTGGTGCCACTACACTATCATTAAAATTGTAATAATAATAACAATACCCTCAGGCATGATGGTGCATACCTGTAGTCCCAGCAAATCAGGAGGCTGAGGCTAGAGACTCACAAATTCAAGATCAGCCTCAACAACTTAGCGAGACCCTGTCTCAAGGTACAAATAAAAAGGGTTTGGCATGTATCTCAGTGGCAAAGTACCTTGGGGTTCAATCCCAGGTAACAAAAATAAATGATTAAAAATAAAAATAAGTCCCAAGATTCTGCATGCTAGCAAACAACAGGCAAAATTTAAGTAAACAAGCAATTTACATTTGTCCCTTATACTAAATGACCAACTGCCTAGATCAAAGAAGAAATTTCACTCTGATGGGAAAGACATTCAAAAAACCCTGAACATTATTACTAAGGCAGGCAGTGAAGGCTGGAGGAATTAGGGTTGACCTTTCTGAGCTTTTATTTAAAACTATTGCCCAATGAATCCCACTGCGGATGCTAAAACAGCACACGTGGTGATGGAGGACCTTTCTATTTTTATTACAACCCCTGCCCCACATTGCAGGTTACTCATGACCATGATGCCATGTAAAAAGCATTTCTGTTTACACTGTTAAGGACAATAGATCTTTTCACCTAAGCCCCCATGTTGTGATTCATGCCTTTTAAATGAAGCTTTCTGGATTTTTTTTTTTAAGTTTATTTGTCATTTGTTCCAGCCAGTTGAGGGAATGAAGTGTTTACTGATGGGTAACTGTGATATCTGTGATTCAGCATAACTGAACATTAAAAGAACTAGAGAAAACTGATAGACTACCCATTAAAATAACCTCAAAAGGGTAACATCTAAAATATTTATGCACTAGGCAAATAAAGAAGCCTCTTTCATAAATGTATAAAATGATTAATGGACCATCTTAAGACTAACTGAAAATCTTGACACACAGACCCGCAAGTGGCACAAGAACACAGTTGCAAGTGACAAAGGACAAGGGGTTGGCAATCTCAGTGCAAACTGACCAGTAAGAAGAAATGATTAGCGTTTTGTGGTATCCAAAATGAGCAGGACTGTAAATGTTGTCAGAGTTTAGCTAAATATCAATTGATGCAGATGATCAAACAGAAAGAATAGGAACCACTTGCAAGAAGCTGGAAAGCAAAGACTGACTAACATAGTGTGAAATAAAAGAGACTGTTAAAATGCAAATGTTTGACTAGGCATTGGGTTTCTAAAAAACTAAGACTTAAAACATAAAATCATGGATCCAAAACAGAAACCAAGCACTATTTCTTTGAAAGCATTTTTTAATCCCAATGCATTGAAACAAATATAAAAATAATGTTTGGGTCCTTTAAAAGTAATTCCCCCCACTCACCTCACATGAAGTTGCCAAAGACTACAAGGAGAAAAATTTCATTTCTATAATTTATTTCTAGAACAAGAAAGGTGTTTTCATAATACTAGCATTTCTAGGGGACAACACAATTTTTTCTTTAGACATGTCAATAGAAACAAGAAATGATTGCTCTATTTCTACTGAAGGAGTTGATTTAATTCAGAAAACTTTCACTGAATGTAGGAAACCCAGGCTGGGTGAAGTTCTGCACCTTTAGAAGACAAATACTAGTCTCAATGCAGCCAGGATTCACCATCCTGAAGTTCCCTTAATTCTAGAACTGCACTAGAACTGCACTAGACAGTCCATATTCTAGACTATCTTTGCTCTGCGTTTCTCCAGATCTGGTGTTTTGATAGGTAACATCTTATGTAAATCTGAAATTAATAAAACCTCCTAACTCAATTAAAATATGCATACTCCCCAAGATCCTTAAAATGGAACGTTGTAAATTTTTAGACTCTTATGATATAATAGAAAACTGTTTTGGGTAGGACAGAATAGGACTTGTGGCATCTCTTTAATAACATGAATTCTTCTGTTTATGAAACCTCTAAACCAACAGGAGGATTGCACATGTGCAAACACACACACACACAAACACACACACACATACACACACTCACACACACAACCACAACAAAGAAAATGGAAAGGAAGGGGCAGCTCCAGATTAAGAACAGAAAAACAACCAAAAAGCATTTCTTTTTTACAACATAATCACCCACACGTAACTTATTCTTGGGGTTCAGAATGGCACTGTCACTGTGGTTGCTACCTGCTAGAGCCCTGAGCATATTCTCAGGCTATGTTGAGTAGACAGCTTGGTAAATGACTGTGAACCTGGGGCATAGCCTTTCACTTTCGTAGCTGGAGTGTGTTCCCTTTATCTGTAAAATATTCTGAAACACAAATATCTTTTGACAGTTTGCTGCCAGATTAATGACTTCATCTCTTTTATTACTAATGCCTGATTCTGGCATTTGGATAAAGACTTAAGTTGAAAAAATGCCCAACTTTTAACATAAAGCAGATTCGTTTTGAAGATTCTATTATGTCAAGAAAATAAAAGGCAAATAAAAAAATCTCTCTGTTGACATACATGATATTACTTTTCAAGTTGAAAAACAATTTTCCATATGTGACAGAAGGACCATTTCAAGAAGGACCTTCTGCTCCCATACCTTGTACAATGATGTTGGCCGTGGCGTGAACAGAGCCTTGGCTATTGTTGGCATGACAGGTGAATCCGCCGTGATCCCTCAGGGTGATGCTCTGCAAGTGGAGTCCACTGGAGGTTTCTATGTGCCTGGATCCGTCCAGTGCCTCTCCATTGTCCCTGGTCCAAGTTATATGGGGGTGTGGGTGGCCTGTGGCCATGCATTCCAAAGTTGTGCTGGTGCCAATTAAAACCTCCGTGTCCTGGGGCTGGATTACAAAGCTAGGTTTGGCTAAGGGTAAGAGGAAAACAAATTAAATATAAGCAGTAACAATTAGGAAGGTTTATTTATTTCTTATTTTGCATTGTGATTTAAAACTATCATTGAAGCCAGAATCAGACAGGCAGTTAGTAAAGATAGGTAAATTGAGTCAGGTCAGATTAAGGAGGCCAATTTGAGTGAGTCCAGGAAATTGGAGACTGTCCCCTGAGGGACTGAAATGCCTTCAGAGCCCTTCCTCTCTCTTAGCAAGATAACTTGCCACAGCTCCAACCTGTTTCTAAGGTAACCTGTCCCAGGAATTGACCCTCCCTCCAACAGGGAGAATTAAAGTTGTTAATTAATGTGTCCTGGGCTGTTCCATCCAACACCTCTGCCAACCCCCCCACCTCTGGTCCATCTGCTTCTCACGTTTTGGCCATCCCACTGAGCATCTTCTGGGCCTAGTAGGGTAAGCAGGAAGGAAAGAGATAAGGGAAAGAAAGTAGGAGAACGAAACAAAAGAAGCCTAAGACCTATAAAAAAGGCAGACTGCCTTGCTACTTGGGATACCAGGATACCAGCTATGGCCCCCTTCTCCCTCCCAGGGAGAAATCTATGTTACCCCTTTTTAAATAAACTGTGCTTTATATGCTTGCCTCAGCGTGCTTCTCTAATGTCATACTTCAACATGGGAGGGAGCAGAACTAGTCACTGGTAACTGGCGGTATCACTATTGCCTTCAAAATTCCTTTTCTCACAGTTATCAAAGAATTAAATCTAAAATAAATTAAATGTTGATTTTTACATAAATACATATTTTAAAAAACAACCTCTTGTATTGTAGATGCTGCACTGTGCTCACTGAATACCTATTCCTTAGGTGCTAAATGTCCAAATGTTCCAATTTAAAAACACTCACATGCTTTTAAATACAGTTTTCCCAGCAAGATCCAGGTACTTGTCACTGGAAAGAGAGAATTTCCTACCCAAATAAAAAGTCTAAGACTAGGTAGTCATCGCTCTACCTCCTGTTACCTGGAATTCAGGCATGAGTTTGGATTATGGGAAGTTGCCATGTAACTAAGAAGTGGCAATTATAAGGGAGGAAAAGAGGTCTATGTACGAAGGATTGAACAGTAGAAGAAAAATATCATTGGCTTGCTAGGGTACTGGGGCCTCTCTGTACAGATTACCTCTATACTATTCCTGGCAAACAATGCACACTCACACACTCACACACTCACACTGTATGTTTAAGCCATGTCAAGTTTTAGTTTACTTTCAAGCTAAGTGTATTACAAATAGATTTATCAAGAAACTAGAGAATTTAGACTTCATTATAGGTATTCCACTCTTATTAATGCTTAAGAATTACATCTTTTATGGGAATCTCAAGCATAAAATAAAGACTAAGTTGTTAAAAACGCCTAATGATAAAGTTTCAGTTTGAGGGGCTCATCGACTTCTGAGATGAATATACCCTGGAGAATAGGAATAAGCTGAATCAATCTAATTTAATAACCAAGATTTAATTCAATTTTTGGCAATATGAATCTCTTAAATATATCAGTAAAATTTTAGGTGTTAGTAAAATATAAAGATGCACAAGATAACTTCCTTTCCTTGTATGTTATAGTCAGAGGACAGAGGACAAAATAAATCAACTACAGTATAATAATGAAATTATTATATCAGAGTTGGGTACAAAGTGCCATAGAACAGGTTGACGGTGGAGAAGCGCTGTATAGGGAAAACTATTGTCATCATTCCAACAGGAAGAACCAGGGACTGAAATGGAACCAGTGATACTCCATGCACATAGGATCATGTCAAAATAAACCCCACTTTTATGTATAACTCTGATGAACTAATAAAAATATTTTAAAAGAGAAATATTTTTTAAGCAAGTCTATGATAGTGGATATGGGAAGGAAGCTCTGATCTGACCCCTATTCAATATATACTTTAAGACACCTAAAGAAAAAAAGACAGCAAAAGAGGATGGTTCTGAGGTTGTTGAAGTACATTAAATATCCTGAGAGAGAGAGCAAACAGAAAGGAAGAGGTTTATGCAGGCAAATCTGTTTGTGGGATGGAAAGATCACATGTGAAGGTGAGCAGGAATGATAGTGTTTCAAATCTCAGGACAAAATAGCAACAATAGATTTATAAGTTTTATTTCTAATTATTAAAGTTGAACGCTGAAGAATTCTTTTAAAATTGAAAGAGATCTCAAATGGAGGAAGAAGCAATGTGACCAGGCCAAACTTGAGGAAGAGAGGGAAGGGGAGGGCTACGGGGAACATGACATTTAAGGAGAAAGAAGAATAAAAATGTCAGGAAAGGATCAAGAGGAAGTGATGTCCCCAAAGTCAAAGAAGGAAAGAGATGGTGGTTTGGAATGAGCTACCAGAGCTGTCAATTAGAAGTTATTTAGAAACCATGAAAGGAATCCCATTGTGATCAATTTCCAACTCAACTGTGTTTCCACACACACCCCCCCCCAGGAACATTCAGTGAATTTTCTCCATTTGCTCTGTCATGATCTGATCTGTGTCTCTACCAACAATGTCCTGCTTCATGGCTGCAGCCAACCCACTTTCTCATTACACCACATCATCCTGTGTTTTCTCCAGACTGCTATCAGAAATATTTTACTAGAAGAAAAATCTAGTTTTGACCACTCTTATTATATAGTCATGATCAACCTGAATGATCTGACCTGCCTTACACCTCCCCAAATCAGTGATTTGGGCTCTACTCCAGAAATATTAAGGATTTCCACCTCTTGGATGCATCTTGCTGTGTCTCCCCTTACATCATACTTTCTTCCAAAATAATGTTTCAACTCTACTTATCTAACTTTATTTTACTTGTCCTCGCTATCTACTTAGATGTCCCTGCTGCTGGGGACATCTCAAATGAACGTGACTCGCCAAGCCTGCTCCAAGGGACCCCCTCTCTCCCTTCATCCTGTTTGCTGTCTCTGTTGATATTATCAATAACCCCCAGTGATCTCAAATTCTTCATATACTGCTCCTTTTCCTGCCTAAAATCTCAGGGGGTATACCAGAGCTGGCTCTTGAGAAGCAGCTGTTAAATTTTGAATATTCTGCAAGCTGGTTGTTAAGCCTAGCCCATTATTAAAAGTTAAATTATGTAAACATACGATTAAATAAGTGTCATTAACATCGAAGTTCACAAATTCTGGCATTCATTATTTCTACTTATTTGACTCTATTTTCCTATTCTCTGTGGTTCAAAGGTGATTTGTGTCTATGAATGTTTCTGTGGTGGAAACACTGCCTCATGATGCCTACTGCACATCTCCTCCCAACTCCACCTTCAGTCATGCCATGTTGGTAACTAGAAATTGGCCATGGAAAGATTATTTATACCTTAGGTATTAGTCAATGCTGCAAATCAGAAATCCCTTCGCCAGTGCTGGGCTTTAAATGTTTACTGGTAGAGAACTGTCCTTTATGCTTCCATCCCTCTCTTGACACATCATAAAACTTGGTTGAATTATGGCTATTGCCTAATAGACTACAGGCTCAGAAAGGGGAAAGATGATGCATTTCTACCATCACAAAATGATACTAATAAAAATCTGTCTTAGTCACTGTGTCTGATTTATATATGCCATTGAAATTATGGCAGAGCAAAGCTTCTGGGTAGTTGAAGGGGTGTGAAATCTTCAACAATAGCTCAGTGGGCATTCAATAAACATTTGTAATGAATTCGTGATGGATAAAGGACAATGAGTTTTTAAAGAGGATGATTTTCCTGCCTAGGAGCAATTGGTTCAATCTGCCTCAAGATGTTGGAAAGCTAGATTGGTAATTGAAACGCTAATTGGAAAATCTTGGAATCACTCTGTGATACACTGGAAAATAACAGAACTAAGGAAGTAACTTAAAAAAAAAAAAAAAAACTTTGAGGGCTACAGGTTCAGATCAGTGGTAGAGCACATACCTGGAATGCATAAAGCCCTAGGTTTAATCACCAGCACCATCAAAAATAATAGTAATAGGGGCTGGGATTGTGGCTCAGAGGGAGAGCTTTCGTGAAGCACTGGGTTTGATCCTTGGCACCACATAAAAAATGAAATAAAGATATTGTGTCCACCTATAACTAAAAATATTTAAAATAATAATAATAATTGTTTATATAATTAAAAGTAAATAAATAAAATAGAACAAACTTCAAGGAAAAAGAGATCAAGTTTCTCTAAAAAAAGTACAAAAAAAAAATCAATGACAATTGTTTCACTTTGAAGCATTACCTACTTTAAAGAAGTAATATAAGGTAATTTTTCAGTGCAAATAACCATAGATACCTAACGCATTTGTATGAAGTTCAACCAGAAAATACAGTTTTACCCGGAAGACTGTGGTATCTGAGCATGGCGTTCTGTGTCTTGGCTTCCCCAGCAGAGTTCCTGGCCATACACTGATAGATGCCTTGGTCTGACTCTCTGGTGTTCCGGATCATGAGTGTCCCATCATCAAACATGTTAAGACGGGTGTCATCCTCAAGATCCAATGAATTGCTGGAAATATATTATATATATTTATTACTTAATTCCATTCATATTTAACTCTATCAAACTCCTAATAAGATGGAATATAGAACATGTTTCATGAATTCTGATTAGCTGATTTATTTTTACAACCTTGATAATTCAAATAATTTTATTTTAAATTCCATTTTCTCCTTTTCATCTTGAGATAATCACTGACTACAGACTGTGAGTTAATAATCCATAATAGAAGGAAAGAAAATTTAAATGCCCTTCCTTCCTGAGCAGGGTGAATTTAGACACTGCTACAATCTCTCCTGTATGAAGATTACTTCAGCACAGTTTAATACCTCTAAATTTCTATTAAAAAAAAAAAAGAAGAAGGATCATCATCAGATGGTGATATGTAAGTTTTTCACATCTTCCCAGTGAGTCATCAGCTTTCCTTCCATATTTTGTAAATTGTAAAAGAAGTGTCTGTATTCAAATCAACATGGCTCAAAGCCCAGTATAATTATATGACTAAGCATTAACTAAGCACATGGTACTTACCAGTTCTTAGTTATTAGGCCTAATGAATTAAAAGGGATTTTTTTTATATACTAGGAAAATGCCTATTATTCATTTATCAATTAAATGGATGATCCATTGAGTACAAGTAGGTTCAGACATGTAACATCACATTGCACCAATAATCAAAGCAAGGGAATGATTTGGGGTTTAAAAAACATTTTTTTAAACAGCTTTATTGAGATATAATTCACATTCGATACAATTCCCATGCCATTTAAAATTTACAGTTCAGTGAATTTTAGTATCTTAAGAGAGTTGTGCAACCATATACCATAATTTCAGAGCATTTTCATTACCCTGAAAGGAAATTTTGTACCCCGTAGGCATTTTTTCATAATTTGCCTCTCCCTGCAACACTAGACAACTACTAATCTACCTTTTGTGTGTCTGGATATTTCATGTGAATGTAATCATACAATTTGTGGTCCTTTGTTTTTGACTTCTTTTACTTAGCATGATATTTTCTTTTTTTTTATTTTATTGACTTAAAAAATGACAGCAGAATGCATTATAATTCTTATTACACATATATAGCACAATTTTTCATATCTCTGGTTGTATATAAAGTATGTTGACACCAATTTGTGTCTTCATACATGTACTTTGGATAATGATGTCTATCACATTCCACCATCCTTGCTAATCCCCTGTCCCCTCCAAAGAGGCTGATTCATAGTGGAGTGGGAGGGGGAGCATGGGAGGAATAGAAGAACTCTAGATAGGGCAGAGGGGTGGGAGGAAAAGGGAGGGGGCAGGGGGTTAGCAAGGATTTGAGGATTTTTTTAATCAATAAATATAAAGATACTGACACCTAAACATGTCAGAAATTTTTACAGAAAACTTTTTCTGGTCAAGTTTATTTTTTCTTTAAAAATATTTAATGATCATGTATGAGAAAGTATATGCAAGTATGCTTAGTACTAACAATGTATTAGTTGTAAAAAAAAAGGAAGAAAGAAAAAATAAGATCTACCACCTCCATCATTTATCACTCAATAAGCATTTATTAAGCACCTACTGTATATCACCTACTAGAAACACCCTTCCTGAAGGAAAATGTCCATTTGAAGAATCTCTATTGCTCTCCCTTTAATTTGTTAGCTTTACAAAACCAGCGAGGGCCAGGTAAATATTTGTTCACCAATTTTAAACTGTGCCAACACTCAAGGAATTCTTGCATATGCAAAAAGAATAAAGCACGTTAAGAAGACTAAGAAATAATCCTTATTCTATAATTTTTGTCATAAAGATAAGAAAGAAGCAGACAATGACCACATTTCACATTTATTATTTAGGTTGTAATGGAAGAGAGTTGACAGGCAATGTGTTCAAGTATCCAGTGAGAAAAGCCCAATGTGGAAAAAAAAAAAGTCAGTGAGAACTTTTTTTCAAGAGCTTTGGAAAAAAACAATGCTTTTGAATGACTTTGCAATGTAAGGCACAAGCAAAGAAAGTAAATTCTGGTACTGGATTTTCTTGTAACTATAAGCTGCCAAAGCTTCTCAATATTGATAATGTGGTATAAACATCAGAAAGTACAGTTTTTAAATGTGAAAACTCCAAAGGATCACATATCATTAAACTTAATTATTTTGAATGTAATTCTAAGACTATCTAACGTTGAATCAAATTAAGACTTTGCAAAAGAGTATGCCAAGAATGGATGAAATTGCATTTCTCAAAAGATATCTAGTTTTCTGAAATTTTTTTTATAAATCTCTGTACCACGAAATACCAAAGACTACAAGATGTGTTCATGATATCTAGAGTATGTCTAGGCAATGAATTCACCAAGATTCACTATGATAAAAAATGATATAAAATGGGCAGCAGCACATCACATCCATAAATTTAAGATGCATCATTTCTTTTCCTGGTTATTTCCCTATTTGTTCATGTTGTCTTCATTATACTCATAAAACTTGTTTGCTCATGAATCATGTTGTTGCTTGAAAAAATCAAAATAAGCCTTCATGGTTCAATATATTCCTTTCACGTTGTCAGTTTTATGCAAGCTGTATAGCAACTGTATGTAAAACAAAATACAATGATGCGAAAAACCACAAAGGTTTATATAAGTAAAATATACTTAGATTTTTTTTCCTTAAAAATGTGTAAATAAACACATTTGACTTAAATATGAAGTAGCAATAACTTTTGTTAAAGTTAATTCTTAGCAGCAATAAATTACCTCTAATAATTAACCATAACCTTTATTAAAGTAGTTCATTTATTAAGTGCTTTCTAAAAACATGTGTAACTAGTTCCATGTGCCAGAAATATAAAAATGGGTATTTTATCATCATACCAATTAAAAATATCTACCACATACAAAGCTATCATCAACCACAAGTAAGGATACAGTTGCAATGTTTGCATGTAATCTGCTGGAAATGTCATAATCATAAACATGACAGAATTTACATTTCTTTAGAATGGCTTGGAATTTCCATGGTCTGGAATCTCATTAAGGAAAAAAATAGCTGGTTTAAAGACCTCTTTCATCATATCACTGTCTTGTTCTACATCTTCAAGTGACTCTCAGAATTTGTCAACTGAAAGCCAAAGTCATTAACTTTCTGGTTATTTTTCAGTCTTTTGTTCTAATTCTCCTTGAGATAAAAATCTTTACTCTAGGGGCTGGGGATAGAGCTCAGTTGTTAGAGTGCTTGCCTTGCATGCACAAGGCCCTGGGTTTGATTCCCAGCACCAAAAAGAAAAAAATATATATATTATACAAGAAGGTCTACCCTTCTTCCTGAACCTAGTCTATATTTGTTTTGTACCAGCATTCATCTTTCTCCAGTTCCTAGAGTGCTTCCCATCCTCTTTGAAGGAGAAATAATTGCTCACTTAAGCAATTATTTAAAAATTTTGTATGGAGAGCTATTACTGGGTGCTGGCAATCATTTTACTTTTCTACTGGGAAGCCTGAAAAATTTCCAAAATTGCCTTGACAAATGTATCTGCTTTGGTTTGAATATAGTTTGTGCTCTCCAAAACTGTTAAAATGTAATCCTCATTATGCAACATTAAGAGGTTGGACCAAGTGAGACCTCTAAGAGGTGATGAGGGCTCCACACTCATGAATACAATAATCCATTCATGTGATTAAGTGTTGGTTAATGGATTAATTTAGGAGTGGATATCAGACAAAATCTCTAGTGTGTCTATTCTAAGAACTGGTTTGGCTCAGGCTCTCCTGTTTTCCCCGTCTCTCACCAGGTGATACCCTGCACTGTGTCAGGACTCTGCCAGCAAAAAGACTGTCATTAGGTGTGGCCTCTCAACCTTGAACCATGAGCCAAATTAAATCTCTTTTTGAATAACTTACCTGGACTCTGGTTTTGTGTTATTAGCAACAGAAAATCAACCAAGTCAAGATCATTATGAAATTGATTTTTTGCTATGATTTGATATTTTGTGTTCTCATATGTGGTTGATGTTGGTCAATATTCCATAGTTGGTTGAAATGTAGCACAGTTTAGCTTTTCATCATGCACTCTCATTTTCACATCATCATCATCAGTGTTATTAACTATGTTTACATATTCCTTCAAATTCTAATTTTTGGTCTTAATATTTTCAAAAAGTAATATTATAATTTCTCACCACAGTTGAGAGTGTGCCCATTTATCCCTGTGCTTCTCTCAATTAGGTTTTATTTTGCGTAGTTACTTTATTAGGTATAAAAAGGTCATGGAACTTACATTCAGTTGAATTACGTATTTTATCTGATCTAATGATACATAATTGATGCAAGTGTAACTGCTCAATATTTTAAACTACTGCCTTAAAGCTTATCTTGGTTTTATTAATATTGCTATACCCCCTAAATATTGATTAACATACTTGTTTTTCAGCCTTATGCTGCTCAGTGTTATATCTATTATAAGTAGCATATAGTTGGGTTTTTTAAATACAACTTTACAATGTCCTTTAATAATCTATTTATTGTTTTCACTAATTCTTTAAGAATATTTTCAATGAGTTATTTTATGTTTTCTCTTTCCCCTGTCTTTGTAATACTGTCCCTCTTTCTCTTGTATTAAACTGATCCAGTTTTCTTTAAGTACCTTCCTTCATCCCCTACTCTGGAAGAACCTTTTTATTTGTTGGTATTTCATCTTAGGTTTTAACTGGCATTCTTGACTTTAAAAAAAAAATCTTAAAGTAGATGTGATTCTTCATCCCAAAAATGAGGCATGCAAAGTTAATTAATTACATATTTTCTCCTTACAGTCTTCAATTAATATCATTTAACATTTTACTCATTCCTTATTTTAAATTTGTTCAGTGCTTTATTTAACAATCTCAGTTTAAACTTTCATATTCATCAATAAGTTAAAAAACTGCTTTTTGGTCTGGAGATGTAGCTAAGTAGTACAATGTGCAGGCAAGAGATTCTAAATTCAAAATACTCTGTTAATCTTTGCTTCTTGCATATCATATCTTCCTAATTTCAACTTTCCGCTTTCTGAAACACATCTATCTTTAATTCTTTCAGTAGATATCCCTGATTACAGCTTTATTCATTGCCTAAAAATGTTTTCATTTTACCTTACTAGATAACTTAGTTTGATATAAAGCTGAAGGAAATTAATTCTCTTCCTTAATAACCCTCAGTATATTTCATTGCCTTAGGTCTGATGTAAAGATTGGTGCAAGTGTAACTGCTCAATATTTTAAAGTAATTTGCAAATTACCTTGGATAAAAAATTATCTGATTTTCAATGTTTTGATCATAATTTATCATATAGAAATTTTTTTTATAAATTCTACTTGAAAATTTATACAATTCTCAGTCTGAAATTTCATGATGTTTTTCACTTCTAGAAAATTTGCAGGTATTGCCCCTTCTCCCATTGCCTTTGGCTCATCTGTCTAATCTCTCATTTTTGAATTCCTACTGGATGCACACTGAATACTTGAATGGGGTCCATGTCTCAGAAGGCAACAAACCCTTCTGAAATCTAGTTTA